ATTTGACGGTCTTAGCCTTTGGTTGCAAGTTCCGTGTTTTTGGAGCAGGTTTGCCACGTGATTTTTTCATCACCTCGGCATAAGTTTTGGCTGCCACCTCTGCAATCATTTCTTCCATAATTTACACTCTTTCTGTCTCCGTCAGTCTTGGTGACTTTCCGGGGACAGCACTTTGAGCTATATGCTGGCGTGCAATCGTTCTGCAATCGTTGCACACCCATTCAAGTCCACTGTGTTTACTGTACAAAGCGTAGATCTCCGTAGAGACCCCTTCACACGTTTGGTGAGCGCACGTTTTGCATACGTTGCACATTGTGCCACTTACCACCTTTTCCCCGCACATTTCATTCGGACACGGGAAGTTGACACGTGGCATATTTTGAACAAAAAATGCGCAATGCAGGTGAACTGATAAATATAGGACACCAACTTTACTGTATAACACAAAACGTGAAAAGAGGGTCAGTGATTACTGAGAAACGGTTAACAGAGCTAGTTTGCAAAAACCTTTCAAAAAGGTAAAACTGATGCTAGATATTTTACTTTCAAGCTTTAGTTTAAATGTAAAGTAGTAAAACGGACTGTACAGTTTGCTTTACCGTACGTTATAACGCACTGCAGTGACAATTAACGGTGAGCAAACTACCACTGTATATGTAATGCGGCCTTCTAAGAGGTCACAGCAAATACACTTGACAAATGCTCAGACAGATTTCCTGTCAGTAAAATGTGAAATATTGTAAGATATTTCACGTAAATAGTATCAAACGTATTTTCAACGAGAGCACTTCAAAATTTGAAACCGCGCGCTAACGTACCTCAAGGTCAGGTATATGTTTTCACTTCAAGTTGTGACACACTTGACTTCCGCGGGGTCTCATTCAATGACTTCAAAGGCTCCGATCAGTAATGGAATCATTTGGGTTGTTTGGGTTATTTAGGGGTTGGTCGCTTTGAAGTTGGACTGATTACATGCTAGGGATCCAACCTTAAAACACCTTGTAGGTGAGGTAGGGTGTGCGTTCTTCAACCTGGTCCGGAATGAGGGCGCATATAGTCAAATTCACTTCACCACCACTGCTGATGTCGATAGGATCGGACAAACCCTACAACGGATTTACGACAATGAGTTTGACGACTTCAGAAACCAGAAAGTGGGCCCTTCTGTAGAAGATAACCAGGCGATAGCTATAGTCAAAACGGGGACACGCTGCCAGCCCGACAAGAGGACGGGATATGTCCGATTGCCTAACAACAACGGGATAGTCCTAGAACGGTTGGAGTACCTTTAAAGGCGACTGGTCCGGGCCGCAGAGCTATGTCGACAGTACGCTACAGCGATACAGGGAAACGGGATATAAAGAACGAGTGGACGTATCACTACCACGTGGGAAACGATTATTGTACTTGCCACACCACCCAGTAACCAACCCTAGAAAGCCAGGGAAGATACGCGTGATGTTTGATTGTGCAGCGCATGCGGCGGTCTCTCCCTTAATGACTGTCTGTTGCAGGGACCGGATTGGACCACTCCCTTGATCAACGTACTCAACCGATTATGGCTAGGTGCAGTTGTAGTGGTAACCGACATACAGGAAAAATTCCTTCAAGTTAAGATACCAGAGGATCAACGCAACGCCCTGCGACTATTATGGTGGCTTGAAGGCGACGTACAAATCTCAGCAGTAGACTACCGATTGACCGTTCATCCCTTCGGACGGTTTCCTTGCGTTTCTGCGCAAACTATGCACTCCAACGGACAGCTTCCCAGCATGAAAACAACTTCTCCGCTTCGATGTCAGCTAGTGCTTGGAATAACTTCTATCACGACGACTTCATCGGCGCCTTCGATGACGCGTGAGCACCTTTGCAGTACGTAGCGCAACTAAGACGCCTACTGAAAAAGGGAGCTTCCGCCAAACCAAATGGTTGTTCAGTTCGTGTTTAGTTCTAGACAGCTGTCCCGAAACCGACAGAGCAAGTGGGGTTGTCAATCTGACCACACTGCCACTCCATATCCAGTTGACCTCATCTTCCAACTTAAACTACCGGAGAGTACCCCACCTGGCGAGGGCTGCTATCGTTGGTCTCCAGTTCATATGACCCGCTTGAATTCGTCGCGCCGTGACTGTTACCGAGGAAGGTCCTCCTACAAAAGCTGTCGAAAAAGGACGAAGTGGGACCAGGCATTAGAAGAGCACGATTGAGCAGATTGGGAGCAATGGTTAACAAGCCCTGCTACACTGGGTGAGATACGGATCCGGTGCCAATTCAGCCGAAGCAGTCAAGCGACGAAGGCTGAACTGCACCTATTCTCCGACGCATTCGAGACGGGATACGGAGCAGTAGCCTACTGGCTGGCTGCTAGGTGCATGTGAACGGTGATTGCACGACGGAAACACTTCTTGCCAAGGCACGGTTCACCCCGTTGAAATACGTATCAACATTTCAATACTCGAGCTGACCGCATCCGTGCTAGCTGTACGCATTGCAAAGCAGCTGTGAGTTTTTTAGTATATTCGAAGATTGCGCCACTTTCTGGACCAATTCTGCCACTGCAATACACTATGTGAACAACGCCAGCACTAGGTTCAAAACTTTCGTTTTCAATCTGCTGACGGTGGTGCACGAAGAGCCCAAGTTGCACCACTGGCGAGATGTTAAATCTGCGGACAACCCAGCCGACCACTGCTCCCGGGGCTGGGGATCATTGGACAAATTACTCGATTGGCTCCATGGCCCGACATTTTCGACCGCCGCGTCAGAGGACGAGAGTAATGTGCCAACNCCCGCCGCATCCGTTGAGTTGTTCGAAGCCAAGAGAGTGGTAATGACTGTGGTACAGTGTGTAGTGACACATCACATCAAGTCCTGTAAAATATTCTCCAACAAGATTTCATTTGACATTTCTCATTCTCTTTATTCCACCCTTAGTCAGTGCCTTTCTCACTCATCCACCCGTTCCACTCCCAAACTTTTAAAGACACGCACCGAAGCTTATGGGCTCTCTACTGTCCCTTATCTTGCCAGATTTCTAATGAACCATGAACCCGTTGAAGGAAATCTGCCCAAAACGCTAGACTAAATCAATCATAAACAGCCGGATATGCCATTGGTGTTTGGTGTTGTTGTCCTTTTTCACGTCCTTTAATTACTGTGTTGTTTTTCCCCACTTTTTGTTGACACACTGGTTATTGAAACAAGCCTTTCCCGAGATCAATTTGAAAAGAAAAGACCAAATTGCAATACTGCATGATTTAAGTCCAGGACGATTTTGCTGCATCTCAACATGGTGCATACTGCAGAAAATACAATACTAATATAGGGATTTTGCATAGCAACAAAGATGAGTAAAATAAAATGAAGCAGAAAGAAAACATAAAAGGGGGAGGGGTAAAAAACTATCACCAAGGTAAGGATAAACTAACATAAAGTTTTTTATGTTGACACAAGGGGGGCTTCCGTCGACTGATAGCCATCGCCTCTGCAAACCGTAGCAATCTTGCGATTAGTGACTTGTAGATAATTCGGAACGCCATGCTTCCGTCAATCTGGTGTTGCGTCATCAGAAGATGTTGAGCTATGGCTCACGACGGAGCCTTGTGGTTTCGACCGTTGATTCTATGTCGCGGACTTGACCCAGATTGCGTCATCCGACTTTGAACCCGATTTGGAATATGTTCAACAAACCGGTTACGTAATTGTCGCTCTGTTCTGCCCACGTAGGTCGCTCCGCACCCACATTGGAATTGGTAAATCAGATTAGAGTTGGCGTACAGAGGCAGACGTTCTTTTACCGGGGGTGTGGATATTCTAGTTGTCTGATAGACGATTTGGGGGTCAGCTGCAGAGTGGGTTCGCGCTATTGCCGATCTCAGTCGTTTTTTCAGCAAACCGCTTACGTCATCACCTTTGAATTGGAGGCACAACGTGACTTTTAATTTTGAGGCTGACGCAATCGGTTCTTTGACAGTTCTCGGTTTGCTGTGTCTATTGACGAACACCTCGGGGTAAGCATTTTTTGTTAACACCCCCGAAGGTTTTGTAGTTCTTTCTTCAATTGTATCTTCCGTGCAGATCCGCCTCGTTCTTTTGAATAGCGTCCAAACAAGACCACGTTTATACTCCAAGGGCACAAAGCTCTCAAAGTGTAAATATTGACATGTCCAGGTCTCCTTTCAGTAAACGGATCGGGCGATCGTTCCGTCTTCCCTTCGCCTCATGCTGATGTCAAGGAAATTTAGTGTGTTGCTAGCTTCGGGTTCCATTGCGAAGCGAATATTTGGATGTAATCTATTAAGTTCATCCAAAATTGCTGTAGCCTCTTCTAGGCTTTCTGTTATCACAAGAGTGTCGTCGACGTAGCTTTTGTAAAGGATTGCACGTTCCAGAATTTTCTTTGCCTTGTGTTCGAGAAGTGCCATAAACAGGTCTGCCAGGACTGGGCCCAACGGGCTTCCCATAGCGACACCGTCAATTTGCCTATACGCATTTCCTTGAAACGTAAAGGACACATCGGTTGTGCAGAGTAGTAATAAACGCTCAAGGACTGACACTGGTAGGTTCACTCGGAGTTGATGATCCTCTATATGATCGCAAATGATTTTTATGGCTTCAAGGACTGGTACATTAGTAAATAGGGACTAGACATCGAATGAAGCCACACTCTGGTTATGTTTTCTGAATAGACACCTCTCGAGGTGTATAAAGCCACTCCTTGACTTGGCTTGACTTAAACGCGACGTCAACTCTTCCCTGTTAAGGAAACCGCAAAGCTTCTCGCCATGGAGCAGACTAATTCTTTCCGTCGCTCGGTGGATGAGGTTTAAACATATGGTGATGATCATGACCGGGTCCTGGCCTGACGAATCGTTGCACATGGGACCCTTATCGATGAACCACCTAATGAGAGCCGAGCACAACATGGTACAACAGCAGCATTTCCCCCTAAAAACAATGACGTTATGAGCGAATGCATGGGCGAACCCAAAAGGACTGCAGTCCAACGGAGAGCTTGCGTGAGCTGCACCCCATACTGATCGAAGGGTTGCTACGCGTGGGAGGGAGATTGGACAACTCCAAAGGCTGATCAGCAGGCGTGGAGCCCCGAATTAAATCTACTCCGACAATGGTTCAAACTTTGTGAGCGCGTCGAATGATGACTGCCTTTGGTGGTGGATTACTCAGTAGCCCCTTCATTCCAGCTAGTTGTCGAGTGGTGAGAACTTTAATTGGGCCTTTGACCTTCTTTTCTGGAGCGTGGCATAGTTTGATAGGTTATATTAACTTGCGGTTGAGGATACCGACTATTTTTGGTTCATCTATGGTTATGTCAGCTAAGCTGGATTCGGAAGTACTGGCGACTAGTGGGGCGTATGATAGATTCCCGCTCTTTTCGGGTGGAGAGATTTGTGGTGCCTTCTCAATATGCGGTCACGTGAGATTGACTGCGGTATGCATTTGAAGTTTCTCATCTACTTTTTCGCCGCCAGGTAGTCTGTTAAGTTTTTCGACACGAAGAGAAATGTCCTCTCTGTGACATATTTACATCTCCTGATTATATTCGCCTGAGCAAGACAATGCTACACTGTTGCGCTCTAGCTGAACTCGACCACGATAACTGTGATCGTTTTCTCGGTGTTTGTTCGAAGATACGAACACCTGATTGGTTTCAGGAGCTCCAGTGATTTAAGGCTACCCAGCCTTATGCTGAGTTTATGGACTGAGGTGCTCCTACTCGAAATTTTACCGCAGATTATCATGCACTTGCTGCATGCTTCTGTTTTAGACAACTTATTGGTAGTATCTAAGATAATTTGATCTGAGATCTTGAGGGGGAGACAGGCCTACACCTAGTGTCTTCACATCCACCAGCTCAGCCTCCATTTAAGCAACTTTCGTCTTAAGACTTAAGATTGCCTCGCTGTGTGATGAGATTATCCTGTTTTGTAACACTAGAGAAGTGTTGATCACCGTGTTGTTGAGGTACAAAGGTAGTGTTTTCACGTCCAGAAATCCATTTTGGATTGAGACAGTACCGTTATTTGCTGCTAGAATTTTAAACGTAACCTGTGGTATAGCGATGGTATGAGAAAATTACGAAAACAGCAATAAAAGGGAAACAGCAGAGTATCAGAGTACCGTGATCATAAAGGTGATAACAAAGGTGTTATAAGAAGGATTAATAGCAGATAAAGCGGTGGGTTATTTCGAGATAAAACACTTTTAGATGCAAAAAACGAATTTTTAAAAGCTTTTATTGCAACTGCCGCAGCCTCCCCAATAAGATTCTAGAATGAAGGCAGCTAGCATTAGACAATTGCCCGGACTTTATAATGCTAACAGAAACCTGGCTCACGGCGGACTTCGTAGATGGAGAAGTAACCGTACCAGGCTATTAGAAAAGACTCCACCCGCGGAAGGGCAGTTGGGGTCATAATTTATTTTAAGCACCATCTCGTCCCTCCAATCTTCATATTTTCAAGTGCTATCTCTTCAATAGATAGTCTGTGGGTCTGTTTCTAGATCTCCAGGACAATCAACTTCCTGATGTGCCTAGTCTATTACCCACCACAGTCCAATATACTAAAGAATCAGCTCCTGATAGACCAGTTTAGGTATGTCTCGGAAAATTGGGACAATTCTCACCTTCACGTGGTAGGTGCTTTCAAGTTCCCAGGCATCAAATGGCAAAAGACGTTTTCAATAGACGTCTCCTTCTGTCGCCCTCCTACTGACCGTCTAGTCGAGAAATCCTGAACACAGTAGGTATCTTTTCTAACAAGGTTTCGACAAGGTCACATCACAAGTTCAATAGACCTAGTCATCACCGACGAAACACACCAGGTTGATGTTATCAGCCAGCCTTACTCTTTTGGAAGAAGTGATCATGTTTCACTGAATTTTGACCATATAGTAACTCGGAATCTGTTTAGCGATAACACTTGATACGTTCTTTCCTTCAAAAGAACAAACTTCGAGACTGTTAACAAATTTCTGAAACTACGCATCTGTCCTTCTTCTTAAATGTTTGTTGACGGCCTCGCCAGGCACAAAGCGCAGGTTATCCCTCTCGCAAACTCGCAACTCCTTCCCTGAATTCGAATTGCTTCTAATGCTAAGCCCCCTCTCCCTCGCCCCGTTCTCCGGCTGTTAGATACAAGCTTTTGTCGAGATACATGAATACTGGCATCGCGGTGGACGGAGATGCTTTAAAAACGTTAGAAACTTCCGCCGATACAAAATTTGAGAGTATCAGAGGTACACCTAGAGAGATTTCCTAACCAATGCTCGATGTAACTCCCAAATAGATCAACGAGCAACGCGTAGCCGAAATTGGATCCCAAAACGCCAATAAAACGAATGATCCAGCAAACTTCTACGGTACTACATTATTAAACGATCGAATAAGCAAATAAAAACTGTACAAA